TTCTCTGGTCTCCGGAGCCCTCATTTCCAGAGGAAGGGCAGGAGACTTAACTGTGAGCAGCCATCAACCAGTAACCAGTAAGAGTGGAAGTATAAATACCCCAGCTCCCTGGCCTCCCAGGGAGTGACTCTCAGGCACCTGTGTCAGGCTGGTTCTGAGACCCCATCAAGGTTAAGCTCTGGATACACACAGTGGCAGCTGGCTTCTCAACACACGTTACTGGATGCCTCCCTTGCCCTGTCTCTCTCCTCCACCATGTTTTCCAGAATCACCTTCCAAGTGAAATGCTTGCCCTCAAATCCATGTCTTGCGTCTGGTTTTGGGAAATTCAAACTGAAGCAGATGGTCACCAGGGAGTATCTCAGGATGGATGAGGGGTCTGGGAAGGTACCATTTTCCTGGACCTTTCTCAGGAGTACTGAATCCTGCCCTTTATCTGGGGAGATGCTCAGAGAGGTGGGGAGTGGGAGCTTGGCTGGTTGCCCAACTCATAGCTGTTCCCTTCCATCCTTAACATGCAGAACCAACTTTTCCATCAGGCAGAAAGGGGCACTGGGAAGGAAAACTGTTCCCCAGTCCCCAGGGATAAACCATGACTGGTCCACCATGCTGAAGTCTGCAGAGGGTAAAAGATGGAGAGACCACTGAGTCACCAAACCATGCTGGAAGCATCCACCTCTGGAAATCCTGATAGACACAGCCATTAAATGAGGGAGGGAGTCGAGTAGAATGGTTAAGGGCAGACTCCAAATGCTAGATTTGAATCCTCAAAATTGATGTCACTCACTGGCTGTATGAAACTGTTAGTTGCTCAGTCATGTCTGACTCTTTGCAACCCCACAGACTAGCCCACCAGGCTCCTCCATCCATGGAATTCTCCAGGCAAGAATACTGGAGTGGGTTGCCATTCCCTCCTCCAGGGGATCTTTCTAACCCTGGGATCGAACCTGGGTCTCCTGCATTGCAGGTAGATTCTTTTCCGTCTGAGCCACCAGGGAAGCCACTCTGGCTATGTGACCTTGGGCAATTTAATTAACCTCTCTTGGCTTTCATTTCCTCATTTGTAACATGAGGATACTAACAGTTCCAGGGTTAGCAGGTTACTGGGAGAATTAAATGAGTCAGTAAATGTAAAAACAGTTAGCATAGTGTCTGCCCATAGCAAGTGCTCTTATAAAGTGTTTGCTCTAGAACATAAGTACCCTTAAGCCAGAGCTTCTCAACCTTAACCCATGAAACACTTGGGGATCTTGTTAGAAGCCTGAGATGATGCATTTATTTTCCTTTCTTCTTTTTTTTGGATGTGCCACACGGTAGGCGGGATCTTAGGCTCCTAGTTCCTGCACCAGGAATGGAACCCCTCCCCCCTGCAGTGGAACTGTGGAGTCTTAACCACTCGACCGCCAGGGAAGTACCAAGAGATGCTATACTTCCAACAAGGTCCCAGGGGATGGTGCTGCTGCTGGGCTGAGAATCACACTTTGAGCAGCAAGGGCTCAACCCACTGTAACTGGTACTGTGTAACCTGGAGCCCAACAATCATCACTGGCAGAATGGCCCACCCCAATGTGCACCCCTTCCCCAGCCCTGAGTCTAGTGAGGACACAGCATTTCCAAAGTTCTCTGTGCCTGTCCTTTGAAGCTCTCACTACACTACTAGTTGAGTGGTCAGTGGAAGGCAGGGTCTCCGAGGTGCTCGGTCCGACTGTCTGGCATACTGTAGGTGCTGAATGAAAACCCACATGGTAGCATCCCTGGGCCCACTTGCAGGAATACACATGCCCCGCAGTGCCAGGGGCTGCAGGCTGGTGGGGGCTGCACAAAGGCACTGGCTCTCTGTAAGCCTCAGCTGGGCTGGCAGAAGCCCAGGGGGAGGATGGTCACACCCCCTCCTGTTTCACAGCCTGGCATCTGGGTCCTGCTAGTGCCCAAAATACCTTCAAAACAAAGAGGAGGCCAACTACCACTCAGTGTCCCCACCTGTCCCCCCATCCCTTCAACCTCCCTTCCTCAGTCAGGTGCATGTTGGGGGTGGGTAGCAGCACCTGGCTGGGCTCCACCAAGACCTGGTCCCTCTCAGGAGGGCAAGACCCTCCCCTCTGCGGGACAGAGGACCCTCAAACCCACCTCATCCCTCCTCAACTATCTCAAGACACCCACCACAAACCTTTTAACAATCATAATAATCATCACAGGAGACTTCCCTGGTGGTCCAGTGGCTAAGACTCTGTGCTCCCAATGCAGGGGGCGCAGGTTCCATCCCTGATCAGGGAACTAGAACCCACATGCCACAACTAAAGATCCTGCATGCCTCGACTAGGACTTGGCACAGCCAAGTAAAGAAAGAAATTTTTTAAAAATCATAATCATTACCGCCAACATTTATTCCATGCTTACCTTGTACTAAGCACATTCTAGACACAATTATAACAAGGAGCAAAATGCCCAAATAACAGTGGCTGAATCGACAAACAACGGTAATAGCTATAGTAACAAAAATGCTTGCAATGTGCCAGCCACTGTTCTAAGTGCTTTGACATCTGTTAGTTCATTGAATCCCCACAACTCTATTAATGGTCTGTACTATTCTGGACCTCTTTTTATAGATGAAGAAACTGGGCTCAGAGAGGTAAAGTAACTTCCCCCAAAGTCACACAGCTCTGAAGAAGCAGAAATGAGGCCCAATCAGTACTGTCTGACTCCAGAGTCCTGACTTTGAACATGTTTGTAATATAATCTGACTCTCTGGGCCCTTAAAGCAGGTGACAGCAAACGACAAAAGCCACGTCCCAAGCACCTGTCACGTGCAAGCATCATTTCCTTTCTTCCTCACGACACCCTCCTACGCTGCTCCCCGTGGACAAGTCCTGTGGCCTCTCTGAGCCTTCAGCTCCTCTTCTGGAAAACTGGAATGTAGGTTTGACCCCCTGCTGCTGTTCCCTGCACCGTGATACCACCTCCTCAACCTGGGCCTCTGACCTGCCCATGAGGCTAACAGACGAGACGTGTATCAGCCTCCTTAAAGCTTAAAGAGGACTAGGGACATGCCCAAGGCCACTCGGGGACAGCGGCCAGGCCAGGACCAGGACCCAAATCTCCCAATCCCCTGAAACTCAGCAGGGACCCACTGCTACCCTGACGCCTAGACTGCCTCCCTCCACGTTTCGCTGTCTTGCCGAGTTTCTCAGGTTAAAGCAAACATTTGTTCCCTTCATCCTCCTCTTCTCCCTCTGCCTTCCACATGTCCTCCTCCTCTTCTCGCCCTCCGGAAAGTCTCCCTAGGAGGTGGGCGGACCAGCAGCATCTGCCAAGGCAAGGCCATTCAGAGAGACCGGAGATGCCCAGTTTAGGAGGGGCTGGGGGCGGGAAGGCTTTCAGGTGGCAGGGCCCCCAGCTGCAAGGCAGGGCAGAAACTGGAGGGTGTCTGCCCATGGACGAGCCACTCATCCAGAGCCATCCAGTGGAACTTTCTGCGCCGATGGAAATGTCCGGCGCCTGCACAGTCCAATACGGTGGGTGCTGAACACAGGCTGCCACTGAACACTTGAAATACGGCGAGAGCGACAGAGGAACAGAATATTTCATCTTCATTTACTTACACTTAGTCACATGCGCCTGGGATCTACCAAACTGGACAGCAGGGGGCTTAACTTTTCCACGCCCCAGTTTCGTGTGCTTGAGAAGGGTCATGATACCCCTGTCCTCCCTGGCTGAGGACGGCTGAGATAATGAAGCAATGGGGTACTGTGATACAAGCCCCACTAAGAGTCTGGATGCCTGGGTTCCAGACCTATGAACGTGCTGTGGGATCCAGGCCAAGCCCCTCAACCTCTCTGAATGCCCTGGTCTGTACAATGAAGAAGTCACAGTGGATCACAGTTTCTTTGGCAGGGGGGTTTAGGGGAATCTGGGAGCCCCCTACAGTTAAAATGAAATGTGTCTGTGTGAACACGCATGTGAGAATGAGTGTGTGTGGTGTGCGTGTGTTAGGGTGCACATCTGCGTATTTATCAGGGGAAAGCAGGCTCCAAGCTTTCCCAAAATTCTCAAAGTGAAAGTGCAATGTCAGTCGCTTCAGTCGTGTCCGACTCTTTGCGTTCCCATGAACTGCAGCCCACCAGGCGCCTCTGTCCATCCGACTTTCCAGGCAAGAATACTAGAGTGGGTAAGCCACTGCCTTCTCCAGGGGATCTTCCCCACCCAGGGATTCAGTCTGGGTCTCCCGCATTGCAGGCAGATTCTTTACAGCCTGGGCCACCAGGGAAGCCGGACAGTGAGAGCCCCAGTCGAGACTGATCTTGTCCCAGGGAGTCTTTTAAAATTGGAACTCCCAAGCTCTGCCCTCATGGAGTCTGAGTCAGTGGCTTGGATTCAGGGTCCCAAGATCGGTATTTGTAACAAGTTCCCGGCAATTCTGATGTTCAGCTGGGGGAGAGAAACAGGCGAGGAGCCAGCTGGACCTCATGTGCTATGACTTGATGTGTGTGAAACTCCTTATCAGGCAGTAGTACATATTTTTAAAAACCAATTGGGATTTAAGGCAACTAAGAGAGTTAAAGAGGAAATAACCACCATCCCAACAAAACCCCTCTCAATCCCCTTTTTTCATTAACCTCTGCTGTGGCAGCCATTGTGCCAGGTGTTTTATAAATATTAACCCATTTAACCCTCCTACCACCCCCTATGAGGTTGGTACTACTGTCTCCATGCTACAGATGAGAAAACTGAGGCCCAGAGAGGTGACCTGCCCAGGATCACACCATCAGTGAGCAGTGGAGCTAGGGTTGAGACCCAGATAGTTGGGTACCAGATCCATGCCCCACTCACACCTCCTCGGAGAATCGTTGCCTTTCATCACCTCCCTTCCGAGGCTGAGGATGACCCAGGAGCCCAGAGTGAGCACCCCTCCTGGCCTGGGGCTGACCCAGGGCTCCTAGAGGGCACTGCTGCCTCCCTCCCACCCACCCCACACCCGAGACGACTGCGGGCCCCACACTCACTTGCCCTCGGAGCCGTAGCTGTTCATGCTGTCCTCAATGGACTCGTGGCTGGCCTGGCGCAGGGTCCGGCTGGGCATCTCCACAGCCAGGCCGGTCTCCGTGCTCCTCTGGATGGCCCCCTTCAACCTCCGGCTGTCCCCTTCCGGGCAGAGTGGTCCAGAGAGACGGGGAGAGAGACACGGGGTGGGAGAGAACAGAGAGACCAGTCCTCTGGTTAGCCTCTTTCAGAGGCTGATGGCTGCCCAGCGTGGGTTTTCACGCCCCGCCTGGTTCATCAACCTCCTCCAACCACCAGCCTCACCTGCACGCACCCTCCCAGGGGTAGCTTGCCCAAATACTCACCCATCAAACAGCATCACATGAGTCCTATTAGCTGGCAGATTCATTTACATGTACTTTTTTTTTAAAAAATTGAAGTATAGTTGATTTACAACATTGTGTTAGTTTTAGGTGTACAACAACATGATTCAGTTTTTTTTTCTTTTTAAATTAAATTCCATTATAGGTTATTACAAGATATCGAATAGAATTCCCTGTGAAGAAGTGAAGTGAAGTGAAAGTCGCTCAGTCATGTCTGACTCTTTGCAACCCCATGGATTGCAGCCTGCCATGCTCCTCTGTCCATGGAATTATCCAGGCAATTACACTGGAGTGGGTAGCTATTCCCTTCTCCAGGGGATCTTCCCGACCCAGAAATCGAACCCAGGTCTCCTGCATGGTAGGCGGATTCTTTACCAGCTGAACTACCAGGGAAGTCCTATAATTAATTCCCTCTATTGTACAGTGAATCTTTGTTGCTTATTTATTTTATGTACAGTAGCTTGAATCTGTTAATCCCATACTCCCAATCTCTCCCTCTCTCCCCTTTGGTAATCACAAGTTTCTTTTCTATGTTTATGAATCTGTTTTTGCTTTGTATATAGATTCATTTGTATTATTTCCAGATTCCACATATAGGGGTTATCGTATAGTATTTATCTTTCTCTGTCTGACTTACTAAGTGTAATATTCTCTAGGTTCATCCAACATGTACTGTTTCTTGAATTCATTTCTGCCCTGCAATCTTCTCCAAATCATTTCCCTCCTCCTCTTCAGTTACTATTTATCAAGTACCCACAATGTATCATATTCTCTGTCAAGCGCTTTTCATGGCTTTAAACCAGGGTTTCTCTACCTCAGCACAGTTGGCAAGGGGACGCATTATTGTTTAGTGGTCAGGCTGTCCTGTGCACTGTGGGAGGTCTAACCCGTCTCCCTGGCCTCTGCCCATAGATGCTAGTCCTCCTTCCAGGTCAGTCGTGGCAGCCAAAAATGTGTCCAGACATGGCCAAACATCCCCTGGAGTGGGAACAAAAATCCCCCTTGGTCGAGGATCACCCAATTAGATCACTGGCTCAAACCACACTGCCCCAGGTTTAAGTCCTGGGTCTCCTTGTCACTGACGGTGAGACTCTGGGCAAATTACTAACCTCCTTGTGCCTCCATTTCCTCCACTGTAAAATGGGAGAACAACATGGTCCTCTGCCCTTCTTTTCAATTTTTTGGCTGCACCATATGGCATATAGGATCCTAGTTCCCCGACCAGGGATTGAACCCATGTCCCCTGCAAGGGAAGTATGAAGTCCTAACCACTGGCCAGCCAAGGAAGTCCGATCCTCTGCCCTTCTACTCCCTGCCTCTAACCATCCTCTCCCCATCCGGCAGCTCTCATTTCGCTTCCACTGTGAGCAAACATCATTCTATCCAAGCTGTCCTTGATCCTCTCTCTGCCCCGTGCCCTGCCGTGGTTTTCTTCCTGATGCTCACCACCTGTGACGTGTTCTACACCGTCGGTTTACTGACTAGCTTCCTCCACATGGAAGGTAAACCCCGTGAAGACAGCGAATTTCACTGTGTCGAATGTTGAAGCACCAGGGCCAAGAACAGTCTAACCATTGGAAAGTGAAAGTGAAAGTCGCTCGTGTCCTACTCTTTGCAAATCCACGGACTATACAGTTCACAGAATTCTCCGGGCCAGAATACTGGAGTAGGTAGCCTTTCCCTTCTCCAGGGGAATCTTCCCAACCCAGGCAGCGAACCCAGGTCTCCTGCACTGTGCACTGCAGACAGATTCTTTACCAGCTGAAGCCACCAGGTAAGCCCAAGAAAACTGGAATGGGTAACCTATCCCTTCTCCAGTGGATCTTCCCAACTCAGGAATCAAACCAGGGTCTCCAACATTGCAGGCGATTCTTTACCAACTGAGCTATCAGGGAAGCGCCTAACCTTTGAAGTGCTCAAGTAGTAACTGCTAGATGAACGGGTATCCGCCCTGGGAGTGGGGTTAACCCTCAGTCACCCAGGAAGCAGTTGCTCCTGCTTCCTCTGTATTTAGCACCGAGGACATGCAGTTAAGGGGCTGGTCCATGCCCTAGGGCCCTAAGGTGGAAGTGGAGGCATGGGGGTGAGGATTTGACCCCAAAGGGGTCTCTTTGCTCCACGCTCCACAGCCTAGTGATCAAGGCAAGCTTTACGTCCCCCACCACCCTGGAGGGCTGTGGGTTCTAGGGGTGGAGGTGGATCTTTAGTGGGAACTTCCCTGCCTCCCCAGCGTCTGGGATGAGCTGATAGACCTCAGGGCCTTCAGCAGTGCTCGCAGATGGACCCACCCAAACCCCATCATCCTGCTGAGTAAAAGGATGGGGAGCTGGGTCTGTGTGAGGAGAGAGGGTGAGGCTGGGGCACCTCCTGCTGAACTTCTCCCTGTCTTCCTCCTCCCAACTCAACGATGGTGCCCCCTTCCTCCCCGACCCGCAGGCAGACAGACATGTGCGTACACACACAGAGCTACAGATGCTCTGTGTGTGCTTCTCAGAGGGTGCACCCACATGTTTCTCTCCCACACACATCTGCGTAATTCAGGCACACAGATGCCCACGTACTCAGAAAATCACACACATACACGTGGAGGAATATACCTGCAAAGATGCAGTTTGTTAACCTACGTCTAAGTGTCCACACTTGTGTGTTGCCATGGGTCTCGGCCCTGGAGGAGAGCACGGCAATTCACCCCAGCTTTCTCACCTGGAGAATCCCACGCACCGAGAAGCCTGGGGAACTGCGGTCTATAAGGTCGTGCCGAGTCGGACGCAACTGAAGTGACTTAACACGCACGCACCCCTGGGTCTCTGCACACCTGCCATTCTACTTCTGAGGCTCAATGGGCAGGTGTCTGGGCGTGTGCCCATCACACACAGATGCATCGCTGTAAGAAGTGTACACCAACCCACTCAAGAAAGCTCACCGAGAAACTGACAGAGCGTGCGTGTGTGTGTGTCTGTGTGTCCGCGTGTGTCACTCTGCTGTTTCTCGTCCTTATGGGGGAAGCTCTGTCTCCCTGTGTCTGTTCCTGTCATCCCACCCCTTGCTCGTTCCCTCACTTGTATCTGAAGTCCCTCTCTCCTTTCTCTGTGTATAGCAGGGTCAGGGGCACAGAAAGATTCAGAAACACACACATGTTCACAGACTCACAGGCACAGAGAAACATCCCTCCACTCACACACACACACACGCACGCACAGTCATGTCCAAGAACAACACCCTCCCTACACCGGGGATACACACCTACACACAAATCTCATCTCTAGGTCCTCTTGGGGAACCTTGACCTAAGACACCTGGCCAAGCTGTTATCCGAAGGAAGTTAAGGTTCAAACATCATTGCACAGGTGGGTTCCAGCATCACAATGGAAACACCATTCCCTCCAAGAAAACCGGTGATAAAAAGAGCAGCTGCACAAAGATGAAGGCATGAAGTTCCGAGGGGATGGTTAACGGGGTCAGATGAGAGGTTCTGTCGTCCGTGGTTATCAGAAGGCTCCACTGAAGAGACCCCAGGTTTGAGTCCTGTACCCTTTGGGTTTCAGCTATGAGGCTGCCCTCAAGCTGGCCACTGTGATGCACGAGTAAATGGAGTGTGGATGACCTATTTTTGGCGACCCACTCCCGCCTGCTGTACCCTATGGGTCTTAAGTCCCTCCTCTCCCAACCTGTGTGGAATGAATATGTGTGTGTTTGTGTGTGTGTAGCTGGGGGTGGGGGAAGGCAGCAGGCAGAGGGTGTGTGTGGACAGCCAGAGTCCCATCAAACCCCAGCAGCAACTTTTCAGGTACCAACACGACTACGTGCTAAACACACAACTGATGCGGACGGAAGAGGGAACAAGAAGGAAGGGGTTCCTGCCTCCCTGGAACTCACAGTTCAGAGGTGGAGGTGGACATTAAACACAGGATCACGCTGATGAATCACAAGTATGTAAGGGGTTTCTCGGAGCAAGAAAAAGATGTAATGACAGCACTCACCAGGGGAGGGTAATAGGAGGGAGACTGATGCAGGCGACTGATTACTTCATCGTTTGAATGACAGTAACTTCAGATCCGTCCCTTGGCCTCCATGACGGTGGATTCTAGTAGATCCCTCCTGTGCCTGAGCATTGCCAGCACCTATGCATGAGACCCTGGCTACCCAGTCCTTAGGTTTTCCTTCTCTTTAGAGGCTCTCCCTTGCTGATTTCATTCCCCTCCCCCATGAGCACCACCCTAAGCAAAGGAATCCTACGCCTCCATCTGCGGCCCTTAACTCTATCAAGAGCAATACTTTGGGGTTTCTGTGGTGGCTCAGTGGTAAAGAATCTGGCTGTCAGTGCAGGAGACCTGGGTTCGATGCCTGGTCTGGGAAGACCCCACAAGCAACCACAACTACTGAGCCTGTGCTCTAGGGCTCAGGAGCTATAACTACTGAAACCCACACGCCCCAGAGCCCATACTCTGCAACAAGAGAAGCCACCGTGGGACTTCTCTGGTGGTCTAGTGATTAAGACTCCAGGCTTCCAATGCAGGGGGGCACAGGTTCAATCCCTGGTGCAGAACTAAGATCCCACAAACTGCGCCACATGTCCCCCCCCAAAAAATAATGAGAAGCTCAGACACCACAACTAGAGAGTAGCCCCTGCTTACTGAAACTAGAGAAAAGCCCTTGCAGCAACAAAGACCCAGCACAGCCATAAATAAATAAAATTATATATCAAAAGAGAGCAATTCTTCCAACTGCATTTTGGACATCACTACCTAGATGATAACTGGCTCCCTGAATGCAACTTGA